GCATACTTTCAAGCATTAAGGTCGTTTGACTACGCTCGGATTGCATATTTGTCGCACGCATAACCGAGCTAGAGGTATTATATGCACCAAGAACTAATATAGAGTCCCTTTCACCATAGAGTCACTCGGGATGTAATTACAGCTGGTTCCCTACCCACCACTTAAATTTTTGATTGACAGGTTTACTTTTGTCAAAAATAAAATCAAAAATAAAAAAAAAATAAAGAAAGATGAAAAATAAAATTCAAAAAGAAAAGAAAAAGAAAAATTTAAAAAGGAAAAAAAATAAAAAATATTCTACAATATGTATATATACAAAGAAAATTTTTTAAATTCGAAACAGCTTAAATCGCAGTATAGCAGAACATATATATGGCATGACTGCTCCAGAAAATACAAAAATCAACATTCTCAAAAAATTAAAATAATTTCAACTTTTTTTCAATAGCAAAAATTTAACGATCCAATTAAATAAGCCCTCTTTTTTTTCATTGATAAATTTTTAACGGTTTTAGACCTTTTTTTGGAAAATGGCAAAGTAGATGGTGAAAGGATTTTTAGGGACTGGCCATTAAAATCGATTAGGCTTTAAATGCACAACTTATTAAATTTGATTTATTTAGTTTGACAGCGAATTGCTACGTTGATCTTTTTCTAATCGCACAGTTCATCAAAAATTATCGTCTCGTGGAACGATTTAAAAATAATCTACGAGTCAACGAAAAATTAATTGTACCATTGTCGATTATCTAAATATGGTACAAATAATAAGCTAAGGAATTAAGTTTTAATCTGACCATAAGTTGAGAAAGTTTCAATCTTTTCAGGTTATCGTAAATTGAGAGATTTTAGACGAATTCCAAACATCCAAACCAGAAATTTTCAATATAGTTTTCACAGTTAGCATGGTAATTGGAATATGGGATTTCCATAAGTAATAATATGTAATATGGGGATAGAATGGCTCAGTGGGTTGTTGCTCAATTAGAAGCGCTGATGCTGAGGTTCGATTCTTCGCGGAAATAAACCTCTACAAAAATCCGGTTGATGCTGGCGAATCACCTGTATTACCAAGGGATTCTCTGGCATATTACCCAATGCGACAAGCCAGTGAAGCGAATTTGACCAGTAATGGTGAGTACTTTTTAAAAAAAATGCAATCTGCGCATTGAAATGCAATTTTTCATATGAAATGATATTAAATGAATTCTCAGATTCTTGTGTTTTATTATAAGTGAATGGTAAACATATATGGAAGGATGCTTCTCAAAAAGGCCTTTGCTAATTAATCTAGTTATTAATTAATTCCATATCGAGATTAATTTATAATTATGTGAAATTACTTTACTTCGACGAAGGATACATACTTATCTTTTCAGCAACAATTTCAGTAAATTGGATCAAATTGTTATAAAATACACAATTATTGCATTAATCGGAAAAATATTTACCTGAATTATCACTTATATCATAG